TCGGTGCAATTCTCGCTTTCTGCCGTCCATCCTTTATGCCGAGTGCAATAAAGGACTGCTCCTAAATTGCGCCATCAAGTCCGGAGCTCGCGAACCAAGGCCCTGAATCCCAGAAATACCCCGAACAGCGGATACAGCGACCGCATAACGTGCAACCAGGCCCATTTCACCACGAGAACCCGGACCACAGCTAATTCTGAGCTTTCTTCCGACCTATGCAATCCAAACAAGGCATTGTTCGTCGGCACCATGACCCACCAGGTAAAAGGCACCATGGCTAAGGTCGACACAGCCGCCAGTGCATATGGGGACCATAGAGGCGAAATCGCGGCCCTCTTGCTCAATGCCACATACCCATAGATACCGCACGTGGCGACACACAGCGCGGGCATAGAGATACTCCCGTAGTGGTAGAGTCGCGCCCACTGCCGTAGCAGTTGAGGTCCATCGTCGATCGTCTCGAGGAACACGGGGATCACCAAGGCTGAGAGGCTCATCATCGATCCTGCACCAATGTTTAGCATTAGCCCGAACGATTCGGCTAGAGGGCCTGTCCGCTGCACTGACCTGAGAGGAACGATCCAGAGACCACGGCCGTGGCTAAGACGTATGTTTCTTTCGTCATGGCGGTCGGTGTGTGCAGCACGATTCCGCCGGATTGAGTTATTCGATGGGGTATATAGTATAGATCCTTTCGGCATAATTCTCCTCGCAGTCTAGATAAAGCCTTGACTCCATTCTTGCAGTCGGGTGAAAGAAAATGCCTCATTTTCTCTTGTCTCATATCCACCCCCCTGCCCAAGTGGACTTCGACTTCGACTTTGAGTAATCGTCTGCCCAACATGGCTTCTTCCACCCACCCGGAACTGCCCGAGCTCTCTGGTTCTTACGAGAACAAGTACCTGTGCCTCACTATCTGTGGTTATCGCAAAGCAGGCATGACCGAGGAAGACTACCGCAACCATATGGTCCACATCTCTGCGCCGATGACAAAGCATCTCATGGTCAAGTATGGCATTAGGCGATGGACACAGGTGAGCATATGCCCATGTCTGAATCATCTACTCTTCGGACTGACCCAGACGCGGACGTAGATTCACAACCAAGCTGCTACGCGCGCATTGATGGCTGAGCTTTTCGATCCGCAGATGGCAAATGTCGCCGACTTCGACTGCTTCAGTCAGGTGGTGTTTCAGGATGTAGAGGATTATAAGCGGATGAAACAGGATCCCTGGTATCAGGAGCATTTGGTTGGTGATCATGAGAACTTTGCGGATACGAAGCGGACACTGTGAGTTTGAGCATCTCGGGGAGTGGCATTGTTACTGATCGCTATAGGGTTACTATCGGGTGGATTGAGGACTTTGTGCGAGACGGAGAAGCTGTTGATGGATTCAAGTCGTAGATACCTAGTTTGGATGCAAGTGTCGTGTTCATTAGGACTGCAGACTAAATGTACGCGAATATGGAGTAGTAGGGTTACTCTTCATTATCTCGGCTTAGGCTTAGAGTGTCAACTGAAGTAACCTTTGATTGCACAAAAGATGTTCCCATTGGCTCATATCAATCAAAGGAAATACTACTGTCCAACATATCTACGAAGATGTCACAAAGTCGGGAACCGCCTCCCACATTGCATCGAAGCCAACGCCCCAAACCCACTTCTTCTGAGCCTCAGTTTGCGAAGCGGTGGAATCATAACAGATCTGGGCAATTCGGAGCCAGGAATTTCCCTTGACCGGCAAGATGTCGGCGTGCTCCTGCTCGAATGGTAAGGCGACCTCCTCGGCATTCTTGAGGGCCCGCACAAACTTGGCAACATGTCCGTCGTCGTGGTATCGATTCAAGGCGTGATACAGTTGTCGCCAATCCATTCCCCGGCTCAGCGTCGGTTCGTAGTTGAGGAAGTTCTCATCGCGCAGCTCCGGTGCCGCACAAGCTGCGTACCACACCAGATCGAGCCGTGCCTTCCATTCGACCAGGCGCGCCTTGTCCGCGATTGAAATCCAGTCGGCGCGGCCGAGCACCGTGAAAAAAATGGAGCTGGTCACGCAGTGCATCAAGAAGAAGTCGATCTTGCGCTCCTTACCCGGCTTATGCGACCCACCACACGCCCAGGCCGCGCAGCTCATCAACTCCACCGTGGCACGCTGCACATCGTGTTCGTTGGGGCTCACTTGGAACTGAGCAGCCACGTGGACGATCTCTTCAAAGGCCCGGCCGAGAACGCCGTCACGAACTTTCCAGGGTCCGTCAGACAGTCGGGCTGCGGTGCGGATGGTGTCATTGGCCCGCACCTGGCGATAGAGCTGGACGAGAGGCTTGGTGGCCACCGACCCGGTCTGGGCCAGGGCCTCTGCTGCCTGGAAAAAGACGTCAATTTTCATGGGGTCGTGGCTCGCAGCCTGGGCGAGACCCTCGGCCACGAGTCCAGGCAGATTGAACTCGATCCCGAAGCCAAGATGGATGATCGGGTGGTACAGGCCCTCGAACAGCTGAGCTAGCATGAAGTCCGCGAGGGGTGTGCGACTAAAGCAGTGTCTGCTTACAACGGCCTCCTTCGAGCTCCCCTGCTGCTTCAGTTCCTGCTCGAAGAACGCCAGGAAATTAGAGTACTGATCCAGCCGCTGCATGTGTCGTCGGAATACGGCTGGGTCGCGCATGTTTTCGACGGTTTGAGCCTCCATAGGCGGTAGGGGGCGCTGAATGGGTTCCCCATCTTCATACGCCCTCTGCAAGTCGGCTGGGGTCCCGCCCATTGCCAGGGTGCTCAGGATGGCGTGCGGGATGTGGTTGTGACCAGCAACATCGCGAAAGTACATGTGCCACTTTTTGTGGTTCTGTTGCAGCAGAGTGCTCGCTGCATCGGTCGCCCCTGGGGAGTAGGGTTCGACCTGCCCGAGGACTTTCTCGGGGGAGAGATGGAAGCCTGCTATGGCAGGGGCTTCAATGGTTGTAGTAGTCATTGTTGACGGTTATGACGGTTAGGGGAAACAACATCGCCAAAATCAAGTGCGCCCACCATGATATTTAGAATGGCCTACCACTGGCTAACCTCCATCCCTTACGCGCGATTGACCCTGACAAATACCCCGACATGACAAGGGCCGAAGTCAGGCCATGCGTGAACTGTCCGAAGAGTAGATGCCGTCGGGCTTTCTTTGCCCGCGCGGTTATTACGCCGGATTGACATCTATCATACATACATACATACATACATAGGTAGTCAGGGCGTTGACCGAACCGTAGTGAAAGATTTAGCAAATACAGCTGTGTGTGCAGACTGGAGATTGATACTCTTGCTTCACTCCACAAGATGGAAGTCAATGACAAGTTCTTTGCCCGGGACGATGTCTTCTGGGAAAACTACCTGAAGGGCCGACCACGAGTGCCCGACTCCTTTTTTGACCGCATTTTCGACTACCACAAGGCCAAGGGGGGGCAGTTTGGCACCGTCCACGACGTTGGTGCAGGCAACGGTCCCTACGCCCTGCGACTGCGCTCCCGTTTCGACCATGTTATCGTATCCGATATCGTGGCGAACAATATTGAATTAGCCCGCCGTCGACTACAAGGGGAGGAGGGCTTCAGCTTCCGCACGTCCCGGCTGCAAGACGCCGACGATATCGCGGCCGGCAGCATCGACATGGTCTTCGCAACCAACGTGATGCATTTCGCAGACCCCCAAGACATCGCCATGGCCGCTATCGCACATCAGTTGCGACCGGGGGGCACTTTTGCAACGGCCGGCTTTGGTCCTGCGCGATTTCACGATGCCCGGCTGCAGAGCTTGTGGGATCGCATTAGCCGCGAGGGAGGACGGCAGCTCCTTAACAAGGCCAATGATCCTATGGAGACTGCGCGGGTTATGCTACGAACGCAGGGAACGTATAATGTTGCCCCGCTCCCGCGTGGGACTTTCACTCCGGGCGCGCTGCGAATTCATCTAAATATGACGGATGGGGGCATCCAGAGCATGCTGCCTCTAGACGATGTCTATCAAACCACATCTGTCGAACCGAATTACACGGGACCGGACGATGTCGAGATCTACGAGCACGATGAGGGCTGGAGCTTTGAGACGGACCTGGCGGGGGTGAAGGAGCATTTCGAGTCTTTTCCATTTGTGTCGCAGTTTCCCGATGTCTTCACGAGCCTGTACCAGGAACTAGACGAGATTCTCGCGGATGGGAAACCTGTACGGGGCTATTTTCCGGTCAAGGTCATCTTAGCGACACGATCTTAGCTAGGGCTGCGGCAAGGTTATATATATATATATATAGTGCGTAATCCGCCTGGATCTCTCAAGCCACGCCTCTAACTAAGAGCATCCTTGGAATCCACGGTAAATCGCGTCATTCTAGGTACATATATTGAATGCCATATCTCCTATACATAGTTACACACGACTATGTCAACGTTAATTGCATGAATATTAATATAAACCGCTCACCTAAAGCTCACCTAAGGTAGAGGAAAATGTTACATGCAATACTTGGATAGTAGTAGGCCTTCGAACTGCCCCATAATGAAAAAAATCAACTTCGGTCAGCTCGGTGCCTGTCCGCTGCAAGGATTCTGCAGAAGAACACGTCAGCCATAGGGGTGACCGGGTCGTATTAGCTGGGATGTGAAGTAGCCATTGATACAATGATAAACATCTCGCTAGGACGCACGGACAACATGATTAATAATGGTTACATCGTGGCATGCTAATCTATTCGGGGGCTAGAAAGATCCGCATGACCTATCTCGGCCACTGGAAACACGCTGAATTCGGATATTAGACATCCCCGAACATGGGCAAGGGTGCATGTACGGGGACACGTATAAGAGAAGGAGATGGAGGCACGCGCAGAATAGGCAGAAAGTAACATGCCAGAGGCGTGTTGGTCAACAATTGCTCCAACAGCCTCAGCCGAAAAGACTGGCCCACTGTTAGTGTATTGGACGCCACGTCTACTTGGCTTATCCCTCCACAGCCGTCATCTTATCACAGGATGGACGATCTGGCCCAGCTCCAAAGCTGCAGCAACGAGCTCGCCACTGCCATTACGAGCCTGGCGAGCTACGCTGGAAGTGGAAACGCCCAGCAAGCCTTCAATAATCAGTCACCTTTTGAGCCAGAAGAAGTTCAGAGAGCAAAGGGAAACATCTTAGCGGTTGCCACCAAGCTTAGGACGTTGATATGCGGGCCGACAGACTTTCTGCAGCATCTCGCGAGCCAGGTTGTGCATCCATCACGCCTAAGCCGTTGAACGACTCAGCTAACGCGACTCCAGAGCGAAATCCTCGCGTGTCTGCGGTGGCTCGGTGAGTTCCAAATCCTGGCCTGCATCCCGTTGATGGGGAGTGCGCCGATCAAAGATATCGCCGACTTGACCAACGTCCCAGAGTCTCGCCTGCGCCGCATCATCCGGTTGACTGCGACGGCTGGCTTTCTTCGCGAGCCAGAGCGTGACCATGTGGCCCATACACCTTTATCGGCATCCTTCTTCTCGAACCCGTCTCTTCTGGATGCCGCCATGTTTCTCTCTGAGTCCGCAGCTCCAACTGCATTGCAGATGCCCCAAACCGCCCAAGTGAAAGAGAAATCGAGCTCGCCTCCATCCAATGGTACTCCATGCGACCTGGTCTTGCCCAGGGGCATGGAATTCCATACCGCCTGCAAACGGCGGCCAAAGCTGAATCGTCAATGGTTGGCATATCTTCACCACGCGGCGGGTTTACATACGGCCGACGATATAGCCGCCGTTCTCACGCAGCTGGACTGGCCCAAACTGACCAACGGGCGCGACGGAAGTATAATAGAGGTATTTCCATGTGTCCCTTTTCCCGGACGAACTACTGGTGTAAGTATGCCATGCCGTATCCCGGGTTGACCACTGTCACGCGCAGGTCGGCGTCTCTTCGTGGTCCACGTCGATAGCTCGACGCCTGGCGCACTTTTACCCAGCCCTCCATTTCACCGTCCAGATCAGCGACCCAGCCGCTGCCATCACCCAAGAGGAGTTCCACCCCCGGATTACGGCGACGAGTCGCATCCTCGGGACACGGCAGACGGCAGCGGGCGCCGCTGTCTACATCCTGCATCTCCCGTTCGCGTCGTCCTCCCCGAGTGCGGTGATGACGGAGCTTGCCGTGCACCTCGACGTTCTGCGGTCGCGTAGCGGCATCCTGCTGATCCTAACGCCTCGTCTTCTGCCCCAGCCTGGGAGCCTCCCTGACGCTGAAGTTGAGGCGACGGCCCGGTCTCGGGATCTGGCGCTCTGGCAGATGGCGGACGAGGGCGAGATGGAGATGCTCGAGTTGCTAGAAACGATTGACACGGTTCGGGACAGCCTTGGAAAATTGGTCGTAACCTCTAAACTACGCTCGCGGAACAATTTGGTTGTTGCTGTAACGGTCGAGTACCAGAGGGATTTACCTAGCTAGCTAATACGGGAGGACTGGCTATGGCTATGGAAGGACAAGAAGAAGAGGAAGAAGAAGAAGAAGACTGCAGGGAGCGAGGGCAAACAGGGTGCTGAGATCGTATCCATCCACCTGGAATGCTACTCATAATCGATCAGCCAACGATCTCCCGATGGAGCGCTATCAATATGCTATTTCGAATACTAGCGTACGGGCAACTAGACCTATTCAAAAATCTTCTCCAGATCATGCTCAGCCCAGCGAATCTCTGGCTCCAGGCCGGCAAACTTCCACACCCCATCAACCAAGCAAAACTGCACAGTAGCCTTTCCATGGCCATGGCCCGTATACAAGACCTCTGTCAACGCATCATCACTATACTTCTGATGCGCAACCCGCATCTGATGATGGCCGGTGATTCGGTCCTCATGGGTCTGCACCAACTTCCCAGCGCCGACAAAATGCTGCGTTTTGATGCGCGCGTTGCCCAAGAATTTCTCGCTAGATGCCATCGCCAGGAACTCGTCGGCAGGCATGGCCTCCCACAGCTTGCCAATTACGTTCCGGTAGTCAATCTATAGCAGTTAGAAGGGGCGCTACAATGCATATGGACAGGGATGGCGCACGCGGAGGGTTGGCGCGATGCATTTTGCCAGACGGCCCCAGTCTTTGGTATCGTAGCTCTCGGCCCATTCGAATAATGCGATCTGGCATCCTACGGCGTCTGAGATCTGTGAGCTTCCCTCCAATTTCATGTCTCGGATGAGGGGGTCAGGGTTGGGCGCACCTTCGTAGGCCGGCGTCTTCGGGGGAACAGCTTTGGTCATGTTGATAACTGTCTGATGAGTGAGTCGGATTTGCCTTCAAATTCCCAGGGGGAGTTGATTCTCGCTATAAATAACCATTTCTACCGACCACGCGCGATACTAGTAAATGTTCCGATATCCACTTTGCATTGTCGCGGGGCCGAATCCGGGACAATAGTGAACGGGATTTTGTTGATAGATAAAGTACCTTAGAGGGTTCCTGACATCGCATTTGTTCTCAAGTCTAATCCTCCATAGATTCTCAATTCTCTCCTGTGACAAGGTCTAATACTCTACCATGACGATCCCCTACACTCCCGGCCGGCTGGACGGCAAAGTCGCCCTGGTAACTGGCTCCGGACGCGGAATCGGCGCAGCCATCGCCATACAACTAGGCCGACTGGGCGCCAAAGTCGTTGTCAACTACGCCAACTCTGCCGAGCACGCAGAGAAGGTCGTCTCCGAAATCAAGGCCCTTGGCTCCGACGCCGTCGCTTTCAAGGCCGACATGCGCCGCGTGGCGGAAACTGCGAAGCTCTTTGACGATGCGGTCGCCCACTTCGGGCACCTGGATATCGCCGTCAGCAACTCCGGGGTCGTCAGCTTCGGGCACCTGAAGGACGTGACCGAGGAGGAGTTCGACCGGGTGTTCAGCCTCAACACGCGGGGCCAGTTCTTCGTCGCGCGAGAGGCATACCGCGTGCTGAGCGAGGGAGGTCGGATCATTCTCACCTCGTCCAATACGTCCAAAGACTTCAGCGTGCCTCGCCATTCGGTCTACTCGGGGTCTAAAGGGGCCATCGACTCGTTTGTGCGGATCCTGTCCAAGGACTGCGGTGACAAGAAGATCACCGTCAATGGGGTCGCCCCTGGCGGCACTCTAACAGACATGTTCCATGCAGTCTCGCACCATTATATCCCAAATGGGGAGAAGTTCACGGCGGAGGAAAGGCAGCAGATGGCGGCACACGCATCGCCCCTGCATCGCAATGGGTTCCCGGAGGATATTGCTAATGTCGTTAGTTTTCTCGTTAGCAAGGAGGGCGAGTGGGTTAACGGGAAGGTCATCACTCTGGATGGAGGGGCGGCGTGAAGGTGAATGGGACTTGTTTATATTATTGAATGAGATCATCGCAAATCAATCTATATGCCTCTTTACAGCTGTCGATCTCAGTAATTAACTTCATACCAACCCAGTGTTTTCAAATGTGGGTTGATGGCTGGAATGCTGATAAATTCCAGCTTTACTTCTGGTCCCAAACTCAGACTCAGACCTGGTCGTATCCAAGCAATGGACAATATGAGTATGAGATCTGCCATTTGATATTGGCTCAGGCACTGACATTAACAATTTACTATGATTCTACTTAAAGCTTTGGAATGTCATAATGCAGTAGTGAATCAGCATCTACGTCCAATCTCCATCCAGTAGGTCCTCCACCTTCTTCCCGGCCGCCATTTCCCGATGGATTCCCTCCAGTGTCCAGTGCACAAATTGATGGCCAGGGGGAATATTGGTGTTGTCAAATTCGGCTCCGCTGACCAAATGGGCGAATGCCTGGCCGTACTTTTCATACACATAGCCTTCAGGGTCATGGCGGAAGAACCACTTGGGATAGCGCACGCGGACCTTGCTCGGGTCGGCTCTCACAGCATCCCAGTCAGTGGTGTCGCTAAGAACCTGTGCATTCACAAAGGCCATTTTCTGAGTACAGCTCGCGCGCTCGTACCGGAGCAGGTTGTAGACTCGAGTGCCGAGTGGGACGCCTGCCCCGGCACCAGCGCCGTGTGCAGAGGTGGCGGCCGGGTTCGAGGCAATCTGCAGGCTTGTAGCCAACGTAATCGCATCTTCGAGGGCCAGGGTACCGCCTGCGGCTGAGGAGGGTACCGTGGAGTGCGCTGCGTCCCCGATCTGTACTACACGACCACCAGGCGAGACCCATTCGCGACGCAGGTTACGCCAGCGCAGCGGCCAGTGGATAATGCTGCTCCGGGGGGCGGTGCGGACGAGGGCCTCGAGGACCGGGTGCCAGTCGGAGTCTGACTCCCCTGGCACTTTGGCCCGGCGCAGCACGTCGATCACCTCGTCCGGGCTCACGTCGGGGTCCCACGACTCACGCGCAACCTTGTTCTTGTCTAGCAGATGGTCGCGCGGCGTGATTCCAAACGCAGCCAGCTCGGGCGACAAGTATAGCCCAATGTGCATGCCGGACCCCATCCAGAACTCATAGGTGTGCTTGCCTCCCCAGCGCTGCCGGACCGCCTCATCCGTGAACGCCAGCTTCGCTGGGAAGGCTGTGCGGTACACAGACATGCCGCTAGATTGCGTGGGCAGATACTCGTCGGCAATCAGCAGCTCGGAGCGAGAGCGGAAACCATCTGCAGCGACGACTGCATAGAATAAGTATCTTGGACCCAAGGATGGGTATAAAGGGGTCACTTAGGGCACTTACCCACATGCGCTTTGCGAATGGATCCGTCCGTCATCCGAACACCGGCAACTCCAGCGCTCTCATCCTCAAAGTAGCTCTCGACGCGCTGGCCATAATCCACCCGGAAGCCCAGCCTCGCAACCTGGCGCAGGAGCATGCGATAGAACTTCTTCCGGATCTGCACAGCACCAACGTAGGGAAACCCCCCCGGCCGCGCCTCCCGCTCGGCCACATACTCGAGCGCATTGTAGTTTGGCTGAGCGGGGCCATCGACGAGCTCGCCATTATGGCGGTAGTAGTACGTGCCCACGGTGACCTTGTCTTCCTCCAGTTCACGGCGCATCTGCGGCCAGTGCTTCATGATCTCGAGTGCGGACGGCTGGATGATGATGAGATCGCCGCTGTAGTTGGGGCCCTGGTTGCGCTCGACAATACCGACCACATCATGGCCTTTTCTCCAGCATTCGAGAGCTGCCATTAGCCCGGCAAAGCCAGCACCTACAATCAGCACCTGCACGTATGTCGGGGGACCGCGCGGAGGAAGCGGATCCTCAGATGTCCAGTTCTCTGGATCGAACTCATGTTTATCGCCGGTTGCGAAAAAACGCAGTGGTTCCTGGGACTCGGTGATACTGCCCATGGTAGTGTGTCTGTGGGACTGTTCGATATGGTAATTTCTGCATAGTGCCGAGGCTCAGCGTTATATCCTCGCATCTACATCATAAATGGTCTGGGGTTCAGTAGTTTGGTCCATCGGTTAACCGGGTGAATTCGATATGCTCCCAGTCATTTGCCCGAGTATCGGCACATTAACTACAAGGGGGTTCTGACATCGGCCCAAATAGACCAAGTACCTGGTCAGATGGTCCCAAGCGTCCCCATACTGTTGGAAATGGTTATTACATTGCGTCCTGCGCGAGATACTGTACGTCCACGCTGGGTTTGATCGTTATATCATACTCGCTATGTTCAACTTCTTCAAGCAAACGAAAGTCGCACCACGCGTGGTGGCCGGAGATGAGGTGGTCGAATTGCCCTTCTTCGACGATACCCTGCTCCTGCAGACGTTCGTGCTGCACTCAATGTTCGTGTTCGACGAAGCGCTTGACGTCTTGAAGCTGCAGGATGCGCTCGAGCGCCTGGGACAGCGAGCAGGCTGGCAAAAGCTAGCGGCTCGGCTCCGGAGGAACGTATGTGATCATTCAGAAGTCGTTTGATTTAATAGGTTCTAATTCTGATATACATCTACATGGAGCAGACCGCTGGTCAGCTCGAATTCCACATCCCGACTGAATTCTCATGCCAACGACCAGCTATCACCCAAACCCATATTCATCATGAAGCGCCGCTGTCACAACACCCAGTTTCCTCTTTTCTCCCAAAACCATCTTCGCAGCCCGCCATTGTCGGCAATGCCGAGGACCTACGGCCCCTTTACGAGGGCCTCAACTGTCCAAGCAAGCTGGACGACTACCTGTACGAAGACCGGTCAGTTGTCGGCCTACACGTCGTCTCCTTCCATGATGCCACAGTTCTCACTCTGAACTGGATACATGCTGCATTTGACGCCACAGCCAAGAAAGCCATCCTCGATGCGTGGAATCTGGTTATGCTGGGAAGAGAAGATCAGATTCCTACTCCAGTAACTTACAGGGAGGACGCGCTCAAGGACCTTGGAACGAACCCCCTATCGCCACATGCGCTGGCGGACCGAAAGACTTCCACGTTGGGGATGATCCGCTGGGCGCTAAGCAATGTCACGGACTTGTTCTTTCGCAGCCAGGAAACACGCATTATTTGTTTACCTGCTGGATTCGTCAAGAACCTGCACGCGGTGGCAATGAAGGAGCTGCTTTCTTCTCCGCCCGGACCTGGTGAGGAGAGGCCATTCGTGTCCGAAGGGGACATTCTGACAGCGTGGGTGGCACGTTTGGCAGTGTCGCATCTATCACAATATCCAGACCGAACAGTAAGGCGCCGAGCTGATATCGTCCATTTCCTAGCAGTATTGACGCGTGTAGGTCGCCATTCAAAACGCCTTCTCCGCCAGAAAGGTCCTGCGACAGTATCTTCCCGCTGACCAGCCGTACATCGCCAACTGTGCCTTCTTCTTCAACGTTCTTCTCCCGGTCAAAGACGTCCTCGGGCGACCGCTGAGTTATACGGCATGGCAGATCCGACGCGCCATTAAGCAGCAAACAACGGCCGAGCAGACGGAAGCATACTGCGCGCTGCTTCGTGCGTCAGGTCAAAACAAGCTTCCTCCGTTCTTTGGTGATAGTTCCAGTATGCAATTATTTTGTTGTGCTTCAAGAGGGTGTGTGCTAATGCGTGACAGTGCACATGCTGAGCTTCTCAAACTGGACCAAGATTGACTTCTTTGGGTTGGACTTTTCGGCTGCCGCCTTAAAGGGTGCTGGTCCGGTGAGGCCGAAGTACATCCAGAATGTCCAGACACCTTACAAGTTCACCGAGATGTTCCCTATTGTCGGGAAAGATGAGCAGGGCAATTACTGGCTTAGTGGAACAAGGACAACGCAGAATTGGGATATCATTGAGCAAGCGCTGCGAGAGGAGAGTCCTTGTACCTAGCATCCGCCTTAGAAATGCGTATATTACCAGGCCTGTGTATGCATCAACCTCCAATCCATTGCAGTCCAGAATTGATCTATATCAATGTCCATACCAGGCGGTCCAGCGACGTCGGGGAAGCTGCTGGGTCCTAGGTCCGGACCTGGGAAGGCTTGTCCGTCGGCACTGTGACCGGTGAAGTTCATCTGTGTGGGAATCGTCTCTGAATTGGTACCGATCGCGATGCTGCTGTGAGGCGGTTCTCCGGTGCTGCAGCTCGGTACCATGGAGGATCCCGAACTCGTCTGCCCTACTTTGTTGCGAATATCCAACACAATCTGGGGTGTCTCCACAGGCATGCCCCGTTGCCGGAGGAATATCTCCCGCGCTCCCCAAGCCTGGAGAACCACCCTTGCAAAGACGGTGAAGACACCCTGCCCGCTGGGCTTGGGATGCATGGCGCGCGCTTCGTAATTCTCGCTCATGGCCTGCCAGGCCTTCCCCACGTGGCTTTCTGTGGGTCGTTTCTTGAGGTCGTTCAGGACGTGGATGTATGCCAGGGCTGGGACGTGGAAATCTACCAGCCACCGGTACCGACTGGTCAAAGGGGAGACTCGCAGTCTCGTATCGCACTCCAGCATCTGCAGAGCGTAGGACAGGGCAGCGTTGCGCTGCGCGTCTGTCTGCTGCATCGCTGGCGACGCCAAGTGCCGTGCGTAGTGCTCCAGCAGGCGGTTTCTGGCCAGGTAGCCGCGCGTCGTCCAGATTGTCATATAATGGAGCGGGTCAGCGGGGTCGCAAAAAGCGAGATATTTTTCCTCGATTGCCTTCTGTATAGTCAACATCTCATCGTCTGCAGGAAGGGACATATGGCCAGGATCCTTTGCCTTAGCCACCGCCGCCAGTACCGGGTTGACAAAGTTGATGTGAAAGGAGGTATGGCGAATCAGGTCGGCGAGTTCGCTTCGAACAACCGCGAACAGCGCCTCTGTCGGCTTCTCGTTGGTGGGGGGGCAGGAATTGGTGTCAGGTCGAATCTCAAAGTCGTTGGCGTTTAACGGAATCCGGCAGTCCCAAGTGGGTGTCAACGTGGTGACCTTGTAGTCGGACATCTCGCACATGCGATGATCGAAAATCACCAATGACCACCAGAGTCTTCGGCGCATCTCGGCCTCCACGGCAGTATATCGAGTGTATGTCGACTCATTGTGGAGCCCCATCCGTTGTGCCATCCGGAGGGCGGCGGCCAGCATAGAGGAGAGCGAGCGCGGGTCTGTTTGCGGCGAAACGGAGACCTAAAACCGTTACTATATGTGGTATTTCTCATCTCATCGGAACACGGACGGACTGCATACCAAGTAGAGGTACACTGCGGTCAAGCCATCGACATTGGTAAACTGCCAGGGCCGACACTTGATCAGCAATTGCCGACACCCCAACCGGTAGCGCGCCAGCAGATCTTCCTTGGACGACCTGAGCAGCCGATGACATTCGTTATCGGCCAGACTCATAACCGCGATGCAGTAGATGCTAAACATGAGTGCCTCCAAGGTAGGATGGATATTTTCAAGATCGCTGACCGCATCGACAATCCGTGGCTGGAGCGTCGGCGTATGGGTCACTTTCAGCAGGGGATTGACGTTTTCCAGATACGTCTGCCAGAGCCTAAAGATCTGGACTTGTTCGGGATGCAAGGCGAGGACATTCACATCAGCCTGTGGTTGACCAAACAGCAGATCATCACCGGTCTGGTCGTTTGCTTCCGGCTGGTCGACGTGATGGTCCCAGGCGTTTTGTACCCCGTCAGCCTGCACATCTGGACTGTTGTCGTCGTTTTCTTCGGGTTCAAGTGTCTTCTCTAGGGTTAACGGCTGCCGTAACGACAACAACTAGGAATCGAACGTACCACTCGGCTAATGGCCTGCCAGAGGTCGCTATAAAAGGACTAGTTAGTTACTTCCTGTGGTAAACTTGGGCTAATCAGGTGTCGAACACTGCCTGAGACTGGACAGGGGTCTGTGCCCTCGCCGATTCTGACCGTTCACAGCCCCGAGAGACGTCAGCGGCGACAGGCTCCTGCTTGGCTTGGGGATGCAGGGGTTCAAAATCAATGTTATGTTGGCGAAGTAGGCCCTCGTAGTGGCGCAGGCGGTCTAATAGAACTCGCTCTTGAAATCGACGACGTCGCGGAGTGAGCGTTGCAGGGACACACTGTGTGTCAGATGCGACACAATTCCCACAGGGGGATTTATGATCGCACCTGACTTTTCGCTGTTGGCATCTCACACAAGCCCGGAGGCGGGGCGACCTTGCCGAATGATCTGTCGACATGCTGAATGCGATGCGATGCGATGGGACGAGGATGATGAACGGAGATGGGAAAATGCAGAAGAAACATGGGGGGTGCCGGAGGGTATTTCGGCCTTTTGAATGGACCGCGGCTAAGTATTCGGACTATTCTATCTCCCGAACTATCCTCCGTGGCATCTCGCATGATGGCGTCTGTGAATATTGAACAACACACTTGATAGGGTCATAGGTTACTATGCAGAATGGACATCCCTGACTATCTGTGGCTTCTCGGGTCCAACTAATGACCGGGAAGGGGGTCGCTTGCCACTTCCCGCACTTGTTGGTCTACGTCCGATGATATATATTTATATTGCCTCAGTCTCCATTTGCATCTCATGCACCGTACCTGAGGGATAGTCCAAGAAAAGCCCATCGCCATGCCTCCAGAAACTCATGACTCGGCTCAAGTTGCCGAAACCTCAGCAGATGCACCGACTCAGCCTAAAAGTCCCGAACCCGAGAAAACAACAACAACGACAACGACACCACCGACGACGACGACGACGACGACAGTTATTGTGATCATCTCAGTGCTCCTGAGTATGTTCCTCGTCGCGCTAGACAGAACTATCCTCGCCACGGTATGAATTTGCACAAGGACCAGACCATCGTTACGGCCCTCTGCTAACTACTTCGAGGCCATCCCCCGAATTACAGACGAGTTCCATTCGCTCACAAGCGTCGGCTGGTACGGGAGCGCATATCTGTTGACCTGCTGCGCGTTGCAGTTGATCTTTGGAAAGATCTATACACTCTTCTCGGTCAAATGGACCCTCCTGTGGAGTATCCTGGTCTTCGAAGCGTCTTCCGCCCTGAGTGGCGCGGCTCCCAACTCGACTGCTCTGATCGTGGGACGAGCCATCTGCGGTGTGGGTGCGGCTGGAATCTTTGCTGGTGTGGTAAGTGGATACCCCCTTGTCACCGTCTCGACTAATCATGGTTGATCATGTTTTCTTCAGGTGGTCTGCATCGTCCATGTCGTCCCTCTCCATAAGCGTCCCCAGATCCAAGGCATGTTTGGTGCCCTGATGGGGGTTTCTTCAATCGTGGGCCCGTTGATCGGCGGTGGTTTTACTTCAAACGTCACCTGGAGATGGTGTTTCTACATCAATCTGCCTGTCGGGGGCGTGGCCATGCTTGTTATCCTGATCTTTTTGAAGATCCCCGACCAACCTACCGCCCGGGCCCCCTTGTCCGAGAAGATCAAGCAACTGGATATCCCCGGGACCATCCTCCTGGTCCCGGGCACCGTCTGCCTTCTCCTGGCATTGCAGTGGGGGGGACAGACATACCCGGTGAGCGGGCCCACCCTAGACCTGCTTGATTCGTACCTAACCATCTATAGTGGAATAACGGACGGGTGATCGCCTTGTTGACTCTCGCCGGCGTCCTCTTGGTCGGCTTTTCTGCCGTCCAAGTCCTTCTCCCGAGGACCGCCACTCTGCCTCCACGGATCATGAAGCAACGTAGTGTCGCTGCGGCGTGCTGGGCGACCCTGACCATCAACTGTGGAAACTATATCATCAGTAAGAGTCCCGCGACGCACCTCTTCCAAACGCAACAGCTAACCAAAGGGTAGTCTACTTCCTCCCAATCTGGTTCCAATCGATCAAAGGAGCGTCTGCCTCCGAGTCCGGCATTCGCACGCTCCCCCTGATGATCTCTATGGTAGCCGGGTCTATAAGCGGTGGCACCCTGAACACCAAAATCGGCTACTATACACCGCTCGCCATCGTCGGGACATGCCTTATGTGCGTGGGAAACGGACTGCTCACCACGTTCGAGGTGCATACCGGCGCGGGGAAATGGATCGGGTACCAGATCATATACGGTCTCGGCCTGGGCTTGGCGTTCCAGGTACCCAACCTAGCGACACAGGCCAGTCTGCCGAAGAAGGACGTGCCTACCGGGTTAGCCCTGATGCTGTTCGCCACTCTGCTAGGGGCGTCGGTGTTTGTATCGGCTGGAGAGAACGTTCTGGCCAATCAACTGGTGAAGAGGTTGGCTGGGGTCGAAGGGGTTGATACCAGTTTGATCACCTCTGGAGGCGCCACTTCTTTGCTCCAATCGCTCCCGGATGGTGTGCGTAATACCGCTCTTATTGCATATAATGAGGCGCTGAGAGAGGTGTTTCGTGTCGGTTTAATCCCGACATGTCTGAGTGTCCTCGGGGCTGCGGCCCTCGAGTGGAGGAGCGTGAAGAAGCCGGCAGGAAAGACCTCTGCAGAGAACGGGGAGAAGGAGACAAAGAAGGTCGAGAAGCAGACTGGGAAGGTGTGAGATTGGAACATGTTCAGCGATCAACGAGCATGCTGTACACTGGTGGCCAATAGGCATCCCCTCTTACAAGTATTTGAGTTATTGTACTATGGAAAAATAGACTGTTTGTATAATTCCAACTACTGTTTCTCTGTTCTTTAACCCTACACCTGTATTCTATACTGGACCAACCAAGCCTACTGTCGAATTCTTCCGTCTTCACTCGCAATACGATGATCTCTGGCTTTCTTCATGCTGTCGCCACCTCTACACCGTAGACTGTTCTTCCCTTTCCTTCGCCATAGTTGCGGAAAGTCAGTCAATCTAATTTCGCTTCCCATCAAATTCCCCTGCTTCTAGTTCAATTAATAACGGTGACTGAATCATCGCGTGCAAAACAGCGGAGCATA